CACCTTGATCTAAAATGAAGAAACCATTTGAAGCACCTGGCCACTAGTATTATTAGTGAAGTTAAATTGGTTGAATATGTGTAGTGGTAGAGTCAAAATGTTGATTTAGCTATATTAATGTGGCTGCTTGGTGAGACCTTGTACACAGTGTACTACAAAGGTCACATTCTTGATCATCTTGATACGCTGGATAGCTGGGTGACTGGGTCTTAGGCTCAGGATGGCCAAATTGCTCTAAATAGAAAATATTTTGCTCTTGGTGCATATTCTTGGGGATGTCCAAACTGCAAATCCATTTGTACACACCAAGGGGGAAACCGAAATGTAAATTGGTTTGAACACACTAAAGGAAATGTTGTTGACCTGTGTATTTCTGGGTATTAGAGAGCTATGGCCGCAGGCTCCTGACAACCAGATGTAGGGTGCACGCTGCTAAATCTACTTTACGCCAATAAACTGCAGTGCTTTGAGTCTTAACCATAGTTTTAACTCTTCATCTACCTTTAGTCTTCTTGTATCGTCAGTGCTTTTTTTCGCCTTGTTGTGCTGGAAGGGTGATGTCCTTTTTATGTTCAAATGTTTACTTGGTTGTTGTTCACAACAGTTACCCATCCAAACCTAACCAAGCCTTAAGTCCCATCAAATGGAGTCGGCTACATGAATCTTTCTTCTCCACGTGGCTCTATCAAAGGCCATTTCGTTAGTCAAATTAAGTCGACAAAAGTTACTCATCACGGTTGGAATATACTCTTTCCTGTGTCATGAGCATCATCCTGTCCAAAATAAAAGTGAACTTTGTAAAGAAGTTGAATTTGATTTGTATGTTCTTAACATGAGCACAATAATATGTAATTAGCTCTATAGATATATGTTTTTATGGAAAGTTTAATGCCACTTTGCTTCTAAAAGAGAAAGTGAATGAAAGGTTTTGAAGACCAGAATGGGAAAACTGTTTGATGTTTTGATCTTATTGGCTCTAATGGGCTGTGTTGCTAGGTTTTCTTGGCTTACTATATGAACAGTTGCTTGTGTATCTTGGATTTGGGTAGAGATGAAATTAACTCAATCATTAATATAGAATCACTTGTAACAAAATCTATTGAATAATGTAAAAATCTAGTTTATTATGTAACTAAATACTAAAAAAATAAAAATTAATATTTTATTAATGTGTAGGTGAGCTGAGCCAGTTTAGAATTTCTCATTCTGAGTCCAATCCAAAGATTAACAGGCTCAAATTTCAGTTCTACCTACCCTTATGAGCCGAATATGTATATTTCAAATTCTAAAAATATCAGTTGGAATAGATGGGCCATTGGGCCCATGGCCATAGGGCCCATGGCCACACCTACGTTGAGGGCTGGACTAGGATATTGTGTACCCAGTCCAATAACTCAATCCACCATGGGAGAGAGAACATCGCAGTTGGTACTCTTTTGCCTCTTCCAGCCCAAAGATTATCTATCATTAATGGGGAATTGAAAACCATCAAATAAATATATAAAAACGAAAAAAAAGATACTGTGACTTTAGTGAATGCATGTGAATTGTGGGTAATAGATCTGTGAGGCCTACAACACTAGTTGAAGGAATGGAACTAGTGCATTTTGTTAAGTATATACAGAAACTATAACTCATATTCATCTTTTTAATGACTAACTGCAACACATTTTCACTGGGCACATTATCACTTTTGCATGATGTTCATGCCATTCTTTTCTCTAATTCTTCAAGTTGATTAATCTCCAGACTTGCTGAAGTGCATTTCCCTTGTAGTTATCTGATTAGGAAACTTAAATGCCTGCTTGACTTGATACAGTTGCTTCTAGATTGATTGACAAGTGATCATTAGAACAGCTGCAGATTAGATCAATGTCAAATTTCCAAGAATTCTAATGAATCCCATAAAGTGAAGTTTATATATATATAATATATGTATGGTGAAGTGGAGTTATTGTTCTTATTGTATGAAAGATCAAGTAATTACCCAGCTTGGATGGTACAGATTAGGCCCGTTAGGAAGGTAGTTCCATTTATACGAAGAAAATAGTACTCCGCACTCTTTCATGGATTTGACACCATACTCTGTTGCTTGAAATGACTTGTTTGATGCTGTTGGGAAGAGATTTTGATCATGCAATTGTTTCTACAGTTTTCAAATTGGGCTGCAAGAGTTTGTTTATAGTGATTTAATTAATTAATTTCTTATTTGTTAGTAGTGTGTTGATACAAACAATTAGATATGAGGTCACTTGTGTTCTTTTAAAGCATTGTGCCCTAGGGCCTTGCATGTTTAGTGGAATCTAATATATATATATATATTTGCTATGGATATCATCTTATTCAACCAAGCAGGCCATTATTATTACATTCTTTTTTCTTTTTTAATTATTTGTTTTTGTTAATCTTACCTAAAACACCTCTATATTAATGTTTTGTGTGAAGAAAATAATACTACGATCATTTTGGTGTCGATGTGAGAACCACTTGCTGTTCTGATGGCAGTGTTTCAAGGCTAACTGCAATAAAATAAGGTTTAGTTATATAAAAGTTATAATAGGGATATGCCTCAAGTATAAAGGTTGGTGATATGATATCAGTTGAAAACAAACAAATCGTGGGTCCAAAGTTATTATTAAAAATCCGAAAACAACCTATTAGGGGATTACAATATACTTAGGAACAAGTTGGTTGTACACCGCAAGCATTAAGAACCCAAAATGCTTTTGGTAGGTGAAACTAGTTCAACAAAATTTATATAGAATGTGAAGAATGAAGAGGGCAACAGGTTCTGTGCTAGTAGAATTTTTCTTTCTTTAAACACATGTTTGACACACCAAAAATAAATTATTATGTGGTTGTTGCAATAGGGGATATTTTTTAGTCTTCAATAACCATCTTCAGCCCAGAGGAAAGGTGGTGCTCAGTGGCAAAGCTAGAAAATCAATTCAGGAGCAGTAAAATCTAAAGCTTATAAATATTTATCAATATATATATATATATATAAGCTTATATATACTAGGTAAAAATGCTATGTGTGTATGTATGAGAAAGAAGAGAGAATTAGAAATGAGAGAGAAGTTGGTAGAAATATATATATACACACTAGAGGTGTGGGTACACATTACATGCGTGTGAAGTAGTTAAACAAATCATGACAATTATTAAGTTTGAAGCGGTTAGATTTGAAAGGAGTATTTTCACAATTACATTAGAGCAATTTTGAGGAGAGAAAAGTTGTGACAAAACTTCATGTTTTGGGCTTTACATTTTACTTAAGGGAATCACTCTGGCGGTGAAGTCTTTTGCAGATTGTTGCGTGATGGGGTAATGCTTCTTGACAGATATGTAGAGTAGTATATCTGCATATCTATTATTTTGTATCTAAAAAAAATATGGGTAAGAAAATGAGCGGCAAGAGAGGCAAAGAGACAACATCTTTTGATCTTGTCAATGGACTGATGAATTGAAACGAACTCACTAGTGTTTGGTTAAAAATGTCCTTCTCAACCCTCAACAAAATACCCAAACATGTCCTACTTTATTTTTTTTCCCCCTTCTTTTAGTACTGCTGTTGCAGTTTGTACACAAATACAGACACCATGTTATAATAATAATAATAATATTCTGCAGCATCCAACTGGGCACAGGCCTACCATTATCTCCAGTTGTTCACTAATTGTTTTTTTATATAGTCAGAGAGAAATGGTCTTAAATTGTGACTTGGCAACAAAAATATATATCAATATATGAAATGAGGCAAAAATAGATAGTCTCACATGCTCCATTTGGCCTTGTATAAATTTATTTACTTTTCAATTTTTTGTTCTTCTTTAATTTCACACCATAGTGGTCCATGACCAGGAGCTCAGACATGCAGTTGAAGCTGTTGGATCTGGACCCATTTTCATGTGGCTAGCTCCAGAACTTGGCTCTGTATATTTCTCATTTAATTTTTTTTTTTTTTTTGATACATTGGAAATCGTAATATGAAGAGAAAAAAAGGCACCTTAATGAGTTATTTGTTATTATGTATAAGTTTTCTATATGTATTTTCTATTTGTAATGTCACTACTTTTTCTAATTTTTATTTCATATTATACATGGTGTGTTTCGTATTAATTTATTGTTTTATCCTCTGTTTGATTTCGCATGAATATTTTATGTATACATATATATATTATTTTGCACTAACATCGTAGGCTAGTATACACATGTACAAATGGGTCAAACATCAGAAAACGTAGAATAAGTGCACAAAGAACCAGAGAGATAGAGAGCGCTTTGGAAATGGCTGTTTCTTTTTTTTTCTTTTTTAACTTGGTAATGTTACATGTACCAATTAATATATTAATTAGTGTACTAATATAATTATGATATTATTATTTTAAAACTATGACCCTACTCATTATACAAATTACAAAAACTCAAAACATCTAAAATTATATCACATTATCCGTTAATATACTAATTAGTATATATAGCATTATTCTTCTTAGCCAGATGGGTATGGGAAAATGACACAAGGAGGAGGAGAATGAGCAAAGCATAACTGCTTAAAACGGTTATGAAATCAGTGAAGGGGAAAAAAAGAGTGGGGAGTGTTTGGCTTTAATTTTTTTTTTTTTCAAAGCTGAAAAAGAAAAAGAAACAAAAAGAAAATCAAAAATTCATTCCCATGAGAAGAACATACTTTACTCAAAGTACAAATCAAATATCATCCTTCCTCTATATCCATCTTTCCTTTGAATGCCTCGTTTCTCTGTTTCTCTCATTGCAACAAGTATTTATTTATTTTTTATTTTTGTGATGGCTTCTCTTTCTATGTTGATTACTTCTATTTTATTTTTCTTGATTTTCACTCCCATTTATTTAGGCACATAAATTATTGGGGGAAAAAAAAAATTCCATGTGAAAATCTAACATGTCAATTTTATTTATTTATTTATTTTTCTTAAAATTGGTATGACATGAGTATAGAAATAAAAGACTCAAACCCA